GAGTTATGTGCGTAGTTGTTATGTGAGTAGAATTTCTGAGTAGTTGCTGGTGAAGTCTGAACTACTGATCTTGTGGTTCAAACTGACCTTTTGGACCAGTGCATTATCTGCAGCACTAGCAGTGTCTGCAGCACCACACCAGAACTTCATATACATATATGCAGTCCTGGTGTGGCACTGTGGGTTAAGCTCACCTTGTGGTTCAAGCTTACCAGCTGCTCCTCAGAAACCCTATGTAGAGTCGTTACCGGTCAGAACAGACTCAACAGCACTTAACACCAACAATATATATACACAGTATATATTGTTGTTGTTAGGTGCCATCGAGTCAGTACCAACTCATAGTGATCCTATACACAACAGAACAAAATACTGCCTAATCCTGTGCCAACCTCACAATCATTACAATGCCTGAGCCCATCACTGTTGCCACTGTGCCAATCCATTTCATTGGGTGTCTTCCTATTTTTCTCCGGCCCTCCATTTTACCAAACATGATATCCTTCTCCAGAGACTGTTCCCTCTTGATAATATGTCCAAAGTATGAGAGACAAAGTCTGACCATCCTGGCTTCCAAGGAGCAGTATGGCTATACTTCTTCCAACACAGATATTTGTTCTTTTGGCGGTCCATGGTACTTTCAATATTCTTTTCCACTACCATAACTCATATGCATCAATATTTCTACAGTCTTCCTTATTCACATTCCAACATTCATTTGCATATGAGGTTTTGAAAATACCATGGCTTGCTCAGGTGCACCTTAGTCCTCAAGCTGTTGTCTTTGCTCTTCAACACTTTAAAGAGGTCTTGTGCAGATTTGCCTAATGCAATATGAATGCTACTTCCATGAGTGCTGATGGTTGATTCAAGCAAAATGAAGTCTTTGACAACTTCAATCTTTTCTCCATTTATATGGATGTTGTTTATTGGTCCATTGGTGAGGATTTTTGTTTTCTTTACATTGAATTGCAATCCATACCGAAGGCTATGTATGGTCTTTGATCTTCATTAGTAAGTATTTCAAGTCATCTTCGCTTTCAGCAAGCAGGGTTGTATCATCTGCATATCTCAGGGTGTTAATGAGTCTTCCTCCAATCCTAACATCACACTTTTCTTCATATAATCCAGCTTCTCAGATTATTTGCTCAGCATACAGATTGAAAGTCTAGAATCCTGGCGCACACCTTTCCTAATTTTAAACCATTCGGTGTTTGCTTGTTCTGTTCAAGTAACTGCCTTTGGTCTATGCACAGATTCCTCCTGAGCACAATTAAGTGTTCCAGAACACTCATTCTTCGCAATGCTGTCCATAGCTTGCCATGATCCACACAATTGAAAGCGTTCACATAGTCAAGAAAGCAAAAGTAAACATATTTCTGGCATTCTCTGCTTTCAGCCAAGATCCATCTGACATCAGCAATGATATCCATCAGTCTACGTCCTCTTCATAATTAGGCTTGAATCCCTGGTAGTTCTCTGTTAATGTATGCATGCAGCCATTTTTGCATTATCCTTAGTAAAATTTTACTTTCAAAGGATATCAATGATATTGTCCAGTGATTTCCACATTCCATTGGGTCACCTTTCTGGAACGGGCACAAATACGATCTCTTACAGTCAACTGGTCAGGTCTTCCAAATTTCTTGGCATAGATGAATGAGTGCCTCCAGTGCTGCAGCAGCTTATTGAAAGATTTTCATTTGTATTCCATCTATTCCCAGTGTCTTCTTCTTTGCCAATGCCTTCAGTGCACCTTGGACTGCTTCCTTCACCACCACTGCTCTTGATCATATGCTACCTCTTTAAATGGTTGAACATCGATCATTTCTTTAGGCTTGATTTTTTTCTTCAGTTCCCTCAGCTTGAGAAATGCTGAGCATGTTCTTCCCTTTTGGGTTTCTAACTCCAGGTCTCTGTACATTTCATAATGATATGTAACTTTGCCATCTCGAGATGACCTATGAAATTGTCTGTTCAGCTCTTGTACTTTCTTACTTCTTCCATTTGCTTTAGCATCTCTACACTGGAGAGCAAGTCTCAGTGTTTCTTCTGACATTCATTTTGATCTTTTTCTTTCTTCTTGTCTTCTTAATGACCTTTTGCTTTCTTCCTGTACAATGTTCTTGATGTCATCCCACAACTCTTCTGGTCTCCAATCTTTAGTGACTAATGCATCATATCTGTTCTTTAGATGATCTCTAAATTCAGGGGAGATATATTCAAGGTCAAATTTTGTCTTTCATACTTCAGGAGGGACCAGTCACTGGAGAAGGATATCATGTTTGGTAAGGTGAAGGGTCAGAAAAAAAGAGGAAGACCGCCAGCGAGATGGACTGGCAATGTGGCAGCATCAATGGGCTCAAGCGTGGCAAAAATTGTGAGGTTGGTCTAGGACTGGGCAGTGTTTCGCTGTAAGTCGGTATTGACTCGATGGTACCTAATAACAACATTTAAGGTCATATTTTGGCTCTTGTGGACTTGTATGAATTTTCCTCAGCTTCAGCCTGGATTTGCATATGAGCAATTGATGGTCTGTTCCACAGTTGCCTCTGGACTTGCTCTGGCTTATGATATGGAGCTTTTCCACCATCTCTTTCCACTGATGTAGTCATTTGATTTCTGTGTATTCAATCTGGCGAGGTCCAGGTATATAGTTGTCTTTTAAGTTGGTTAAAAGACATTTGCAATGAAGAAGTCATTGGTCTTGAAAAATTCTATCTTGCAATCTCCAGCATCTTTTCTATCACCAAGGCCATATTTTCCAACTACACATCCTTCCTCTTGGTTTCCAACCTTTGCATTCCCATCACCAGTAATTATCAATAATCTTGATTGCAAGTTTGATCAATTTCAGACTGAAGAAGCTGTAGAATTCTTCAATTTTATTATCATTGGCTTTAGTGATTGTTGCATTAATTTGAATAATAGTGATATTAACTGGTCTTCCTTGTAGGCATATGGATATTATCCTATCACAGACTGTGTTGTACTTCAAGACAGATCTTGAGATATATATATATATATTGGATGATAATTACAACACCATTCTTCTTGAATTTGTCATAACCATTATAGTAAACCATATGATTGTCAGATTCAAAATGACCAATACCAGTCAATTTCAGTTCACTAATGCCTAGGATATCACTGTTTATGTGTTCCATTCATTTTTTGATAATTTCCAATTTTCCTAGATTCAAAATTCATACATTCCATGTCTGATTTTTAAAAGATGTTTAGAGCCATTTCTCTTCCTTTTGAGTTGTTCCCCATTAGCAAATGAAGGTCCCGAGGGCTTTACTCCATTCGCGTCATCACGGTCATCTCTACTTTGAGGTGGCAGCTCTTACCCAGTTGCATTTTGAGTGCCTTCCAACCTGAGGGGCCCATCTTACAGCACTATATCTGACAATACTCTGGTGTTCTTCATCATGTTTCAATACTCAATTTTCTGGTGCTGACAGTGTTCTACTGTTATTTACAAGGTTTTCAGTGACTAAGTATTCAGCACTAGTTCATCTCTGCTTCTTCTTAGTCTGTCTTCATCTGGATGTTTGGCTGAAACCTGCCCACCATGGATGACCCTGCTGGTTTTTAAAATTTTTGTGGCATAAATTCCACAATTACAGCAACATGCAAGCCACCACAGTACAACAAAGTGACAGATGAGTGGTGAACATGTATATACATATATATATATATGTGTGTGTGTGTGTTTCTGTCTATCCACATATCTATGTATCTATCATCCATCTATCATCTACTTCAAGGGTTCTTCCTGTTGCCAGTGTATCTAAAGCATTAAGCTTAGAAGACTTTTCTAAAGCATCCCTAGACTTAAAACAAATTATTTTAACACACTGGACACAGTGAAGAGGGATAATAACTCTTTTGTACTTAGGAATGTGATGGCTTCTCACCACTGTTCAATTTTCTTTAAGGAGTCTTTTAACAACATTTCATTGTATCAACCCTATGTACACAAGATTAAAGTGTAACTCTCAAATTATAGCTTGTATTTATTACATGCAAGGCAACATTAAACAATTTTTTAAATCAAACCTTAACACAAAAGGATACATGTTTTGCCTCTCAAAGAGTTTTGATTGAAATTTTTATTTCATTCAGCTGTCTAACCTACTATTTCTTAATTCTGGAGAATTTTAGACATTTAATGACCTTTGATTATGTCTGGGGTTTCTGAGTACACAAATGGTTAAAGAGTTTGACTCATAAACAAAAGGCTGGAGGTTCAAATGTACCCAGTGGCATCTCTCTTGAAAGAAAGGCTTATTGATTTACTTCTGAAAAATCAGCCAATGAAAACTCTAAGAGCACAGTTCTGTTCTGACACACATAGTGTTAGCATGAGTTGGAATCAACTCAATGGTAACTTTCATTACTATTATTATAATTGTTATCTTGAATCTGTAATTAAGTTTCTTACCCTTTAAATGATGTATGTCTGCCATTTGATATGATATGTTGTTCTGTAGTTTAACCTGAAAAAAATTAAGTTTTCAGATTACTAACACATATGCAGTTTTGATCATATTTACTTCTTTCACTCATATACATTTTGTATTTGGGTCATAAATGCAAAAGGAATATTCTGATTATTTCTACATAATTTCTGCCCCAAAGAATTAAAGATAAATTCTGATTTTGTTCACTCTAAAATCTGCACAATTATTTCATACACAGGATAATGACTTTTAGAAGTTTTAAAGTTGGAGTTAAATATTGCTTAATACTTTTTTTTTTTTTAAACAAAATCCTACTGGAAAAGAGTTCTCACTAACTCTACATTAAGAATTAACTGCTTTGGAAAGTTGAATCAAAGCTAATTAATGCTCATTAAGCGCCAATAGGATGACAGATACTACACAGGTCTCAGTTCTAGTCACTGTACTTTGTAATTAAGTAAAGAGAAAACATTAAGAAAAAACCAAAATGTGACTCAAATTAAGGCTTACCAGTCAATTTAAACAAAGCCTTACATAAGTTAGGATCTCATCCACAGAGAATCAATGTTTTCTCAGTTCTTGCTTTTAACAGGTTTCTTTTCATTGTAAAATGCATCTAAAATAAAATCATTATGAATGGGTTCTCTTGTCTATCTCAAGAGTAAGTTTACTTTGAGAGGGACAGGCAAATTCATGCTGTTCAATAGTAACACTGAGAGGCAAAATGACTATGATAAATACCATCTCAGGTTCTAAAAGACTTAAAACTTTATTTTGAAATAATTGTAGATTCATAAAAAGTTACAAAGATAGCAAGAGAGGTCCCATGGACCCTTCATTTAATTTCCCCCAATAGGTACATGTTATATAACTAAAGCACAACAACAAAACCAGGAAATTAACATCAATACAATATAAATAGTTCTATGTCATTTTGTCACATGTATAGACTCATGAAGCACATTACAAACAAGATACAAAATTATTCCATCATCCCAAAGATTTTATTCTATCCCTTTATAGTCATATCCACTCCCCATCCCTAGCCCCACTGTTCCTAACCCCTGGCTACCACTAATTTATTGTCTTTCTCTGCAAAATTTATTTTTAAAATGTTATATAAATTGAACCACACAGGATATGACCTTCCGATCTTTTTTTAACTCAGCATAATGCCCAGTTGTTGTATATATTAATAGCTCATTCCTTTTTATTACTGATTAGTATTTCATAGTATGAATGTATTAAATAGATACAATTTGCTCAAGCATTTAACTGTTGTAGAACATTTTAGTCATTTCCAGTTTGGGGCTATAATAAATAAAGCTGCTATGAATAATCATATATAGGTTTTTATGTGGACCCACATCTTCATTTCCCTGGGATAATGCCCAGAACTGAGAGTATGAAGTTGTATGGTAAATATGATTACTTTTTTAACTCTTTCAAGATGGAATGATTTACTACTTTTAATATTTTTGTTGAAACCATGTGTTCTCAGTAGTGAGAAGCATTGTTAATGACATGGAAATAATTTTTGAATTAATATGATATAATAGGTGGGACACATATATCCCGAGGATCTCTGGTTGGTGGGATGAAGCCCATTTCTTCAGATTCTTGCAGTTATAGAGGTCCCCCACCAGATGGCAGCATACACTAACAGTGGACTAGCAGCTGCCCACTATGTTGTTCTTGTTAAGTACCATAGTGTTGGTACAGACCCATAGAGACCCTGTATAGGGTTTCCAAGGAGCCACTAGTGAGCCTGAACCACCAATCTTGCAGTTTAAACGAACTTACAATCTGGGGCATTAACCCACAGCGCCACACCAGGACTCCGATTCCCACTATAGTCATTGTAGTCATTGTTAAGTATCTGCGAGTTGGTTCTGACTCATAGAAACCCTATAAAGGGTTTCTGAGGAGAGGCTGGTGGGTTTGAACTGCTGACCATGTTGTTAGCAGTCCTGTGTTTATCCTACAGCACCACACCAGGACTCCTCCCACTATGGTTGTCGTGAAGTGCTGTTGAGTTGGTTCCATCTCATAGCTATACTTTATAGGATTTCCACATGCGTTATCCCACAGTGCCACACCAGGACACCTATGGTAGGTGTGCACTATATATCTCAAGGGTCACAAAAGAATTAAGAAATTTCCACATTATTTTCAATTATGTTTTAAGAGCCTACTATGCTGCTTTTTTCTTCCAGTCCACTCCCCACTGCCCCAGAGCCCACTCCTGCTAAGTTAGTAATACTATTGTCTCCCCCCAGGCACAATCAAGGTTATCTACCGGGACCTCATCTGCCATGTCATCTCTGAACTGCTGACCTTATGGTTCAAACCAACTTTGCAGTCCAGCTCATTAACCCACATTTATAAGATCTGAGAGATCACAGATGGGCTGTACCTGAAGATGGAGAGGAAGATGGTCATTAGCACAAAGGATAACATTGATGACTTGCTCATTGTTGGAAATGCCTCAACTTTATCACTGGTGAAAGCTCCAATGGTGAAGGTTCTCAAAGCACAGTAATTGATATTATCAGTGTTGATACTGTCATTATCACTTGCAGGAAACCAGCTTCATAAAAGAAGCCAACAAGAAGTACACCAAAGTTTACATAAAATCAACCAAAAGCAAACTTGAAGAACAGAGACCAAAAAAAGTAAAACCTTTGATGACAGGGGCTGCAGAACAAACCAAGCTTGCAAATTTAAAAACTATTAGTTCTTTATTGGTAAAAACATGAATCCCAGTGGTATGGTTGCTGTGCTGGACTACTGAGAGAATGGTGTGCTCCCATAGACAATTTTCTTTAAGGATGGTTAAGAAACACAGAAATGTTAGTACTCTCGGCAATTATTTGGATGTACTACCTTGTCCTGGTGTGGCACTGTGGGTTAATGCGCCAAACTGAAAAGCAATTTGAACTGCAAGGTTGGCGGTTCAAGCTCACCAGCTGCTCCTCGAAAACCCTATATGGGGTCCCTATGGGTCGGAATTGACTCAACGGCATTAACAACCTTGTCATCTCGGGAACACAGTGGTTCTGTATGATACGCACTGAGTCATGAACCACAAAGTCAGTGGTTAAGGAGAAAGATGCTTCGGGAGAAAGATGAGGCTTTCTGCTCCTGCAATGATTTATAGCCTCTGAAACTTACAAGGGCTCTCTATGAGTTGGAACTGACACGATGGCACTTGACAACATCACTGTCATCTTAACTGGCTGCTACTTTCTAGCCACATAGTACGAGGACTTAGACACACGGAACTGATGTCATCATGAACTCTTATTTTATCTTGATTTATTGGAGTGAAGTTATTGAGAGGTTCTGTGTGTGAGAGTTTTAAAGAATAAAACATTGTGTAGGTTGTCTAAAAATAAAATGCACTTAAACTTAAAAAAAAAAAGAATAAAAATGAAGAAACGACTGTACTATGGTAATAGATTAGAAAGTATAAACAATTAAGAACACATGAGCACAATCTCAATGAATCATTAAGCAAGGGGGCCTTTAAAACAATGTAATTACTATAGGAATTTGGAGATGATGGATTGATTTAGGAAATCTTCATGGAAGGCATTTGTTAAGTGCCATCGAGTTAGTTCTGACCCATAGCAACCCTGTAGAGGGTTTCTGAGGAGCATCTGATGAGCTTGAACCACCGACTTTGTGGTTCAAACCAACTTTGCAGTTGCAGTCCAGAGCATTAATCCACAGCGCAGCAGCAGGACTGAAGGTTAGGTAGAATTTTAAACAGGTGGAAAAGAGTATTTCAATACAGGAAATGACATGAGACAAAAGAAAGCACGTGGGGAGAGGGGCTGTGTGCTGATGACCTACTGGGAGCAGGCTTGCAGGGTATATACCCTTTGGTTGGCTGATGATTCATGGAGGGGATTGTAACCATGGCAATGAAACGATATATGATAGGATGAATGTAAATCTAATGTTCTCCCATATAAACGATCACATAATTCACAATAAAACATTAAAAACACATGGTACATATGAAGATAGTAGCTCTGGTAGCGTAGTGGTTACAAATCAGGCTGCTAACTTCAGGGTCAGTAGTTCGAAACTACCAGATGCTCCGTGGGAGAAAGAAGAGGCTTTCTGCTCCCATAAAGATTTACAGCCTCAGAAACCCTGTACAGGGTTGCTATGAGTTGGAATCGACTCCACAGAACATTACCACCACCACCACCACCACCACATATGAAGATACCACCAAAGAACAGTTTAGCTAACATATATGGTAGAGGTGAAATAGTAGTAGGAAAGAAGGTTGGAAAAAAAGCCAATTGAGGGCCCTTCAGCCCCAAGTGGAGTCTGTTATTCAATCTGCAAGCCAGACTTTCCAATTTCACATAAAAGTTTATCTATAGACAGATAACAGATGACAGCAGCATTACTCTAGTTGAAGCAGGTGTGGGAGTCTAGGGGTCCCTCTTTCTTCTCCCTTAGAGTACTAGGGGCTTTGGAGACAGAAATTTAAAAATCAACAAACCCCTAATACTCAGTCACAAAAATGAGAGAAGCACTGCTGATACATGCTATACCATGGATGAACCTTGAAAGCATTATTTATGCTTAATGAGAAAAGCCAGACATAAAAAGGCTACATATTGTATGATTCCATTTATATGAAAAGACCATACTCCATGCAAATCTGTATATACAGAAAGCAGATTCGTAGTTGCCAGGTGCTGGGGAGTGATTGCTTAACTGACACACAGTTTCTTTCTGGAATGATGAAAATGTTCTGGAATTCAATAGTGGTGGGTGGTTGCCCATCATTGTGAATACACCTACTCCTCATTTATCCACTATCTTGTTATCCAACATTTTACATTTACAACAATAGTAAAAATCTACTATTTGACTACTTGGACTATTTGCATTCCTGGTGTGGCACTGTAGGATCAGCACTGGTCTATGAGTCACAAGGTCAGCAGTTCACACCCACCACCTTCTACAGGGTCACTATGAGTCAGAACTGACTTGACAGCACTTAGCAA